GCCCTTATGGCAGAAAGCGCAGATACCTGGGGAACGAATCAGGGTGGACCTGATAGGGTGGTCAGCCAGGGTCCAGTCGCCTCCTTCTGGAAGCCAGAGACCTCTCGGTGGGGATGGGGAGCGGCTCCTCACCTGGGGCAGCAGCCTCCTCTTCTTCCACTTCTTCTGCCCGTCCATCTGTCCAGCCGAGAGTCTCTTCCACTTCAGAAGTCTGGAAAAGATAAAAGAGAGTTAACAGCCAATCGCTTCAGAAATCAAAGTGGATTAGAGAAAGGAAAACAGAAAAGAAAATATTAAATACATAAGTATATATACAATAGCAAGACACAAAGAAGGGGGGAATATAGTTAGGGTAGATTAGCAAAGGTAAGGGAATAAGAAATGATAATCAAATTATATTTGGGTTTGTGGAAATACCATCCCAAGGAAACATAAACTGAGATTTGAAAGAGACACCTGCAACAATAGAAAAAGAAAGGGAGAGAGGAGGAGAGGAAGACGGGGGAAAGAAGAAAGAGGTAAGGAGAGGAGGATGGAAGGGAGAGAAAGAGAAGGAGAGAGGGTAGGAAGCAGAAGAGGAAGAGTAGGAGTAGAAGAAAGGTAAGGGAAGAAGGCAGGGGAAGGAGAGGAGGAAGGAAGGAAATAGAGAAGGGAGGGAGGGAAAAAAGAAAGAGAAAACAAGGTGGTGTTACAACAGGCGCTAGGGATGGTAAACAAAGCAACCCAAACTGTATATTATAACCTATTAAATGAAATAACAAATATAGAAGAATGTTAAGAAGAATAACAATTATGTGAATGTAGACTTAAAATGGTAGGTAAGAGAAATTAAAAATAAAAAAGGTCAAGAGCTCTGGAGAGGTCTTTAATTAAAATTCCTTTCCCTTCCAAAACTTCCTGGTTGTTTGTTTGTTTGTTTGTTTGTTTGTTTGTTTTGAGGTTGCAAAGGGGTGTGCATGGAGGCTGAGACTCGGCCTTGAGCCTCTCAACCACCTCGAGGCCGGTTCTTCTCGCTTTTTTCATTTTAAAAAGCCAGGCAAAGTGTCTTCTGGGTAGCGTGATTAAAAGGAAGGGTATTGCCAGGTGGCCATTATGTTACATTAAAAGTCAAGCCTCTGTTTTAATCCAGCGGCCTGCTTCTCTTGCTCTCCCCATAAGGCAGGGGTGTCCAAACTTGGGAACTTTAAGACTTGTGGACTTCAACTCCCAGAGTTGAAGCCAGCAGGGCAGTCTGGGGAATTCTGGGAATTGAAGTCCACAAGTCTTAAAGTTCCCAAGTTTGGACACCCCTGCGGTAAGGAAAGGCCCGAAAAGACAATTACCTGCAAGGAGGAAGGCAAGGCGACAGCTCCCGTCTGTAGATCGGGGCCCAGGGTCTCCACCCGGAGGGCATCGGGCTGCAGAGACCCCAGGGAAGCCTCCACGGGCTGAGGAGGGTCAACAGAAGACGGAAGGGCAACGGAACCTGCAGGAGGGAAGGAACATAGAGGGATCTGGGTTTCCAGCCTGCTTGCCATTCAGCCAGATCAGGGGTTATCAACCTGCGGCTCTGGAGCCACATGTGGCTCTTTCATCCCTCTGGTGTGGCTCCCTGTCGCCGGTCGGCTCTACAATTGATAGGGCTTTCGGTTAGGACAGGTAGAGGAAAAAGGACGCTGCACTAGGAGGAGACTCCATAGTGGGGAGGAACCGGACTTCCGGTCAGCTCCAGAATTTAATGGGGGGCTTCTGGTTAGGACCTGTGTGGCTCTTTTGAGTGTTTAAGGTTGCTGACCCCTGAGCCAGACCCTCAAGTGTCTCCCAGGGTCTCCAAACCAGAGAAACCACAGGGCTGAGGGTTCCCGCATCTGCTCCAACTCTGAGTAGAGAGCCCATTTGGGGGCGCCGGAGCCAAAGGACGGCAGGGGCTCACCTGCACCAGGAGCTGCGCTGGGCCCCCTCCCCTCTTGATGAGGGACCGGCTTCTCGGTGGGAAGGAACAGCGGGGCCTTCGCAGGACCCCCGCAGCCCTTCTGGGGCGGCGCAAGGATGATGAAGATGGAAGAGACCATGCGCTTCTGCATCTTGTCCCCGAGCATCCCCACCTGAGAGAAAGGGGAAGGATGGCAGGCAGGAGGCAATTTCATTNCCGTCAGGCCTGGGGACAAAGATAACTGTCCCCACCCGAATGATGAATGAATGTTGCTTACTATTTTACTTCTTTGTATTGTTGTGTCTATTGTCTGTATACCCCCCCCCCCCTTATTTTATGTAAGCCACCCTGAGTCCCCTCAGGGAAAAGGGCGGCCTATAAGCATTAATAAATACCAAAATACCAAATACCCCTGGCACAGGGTGGTGTGCATCCCCACCCCCACTAACCTGTTTTTGCTTCCAGAGGGGTACAGGAAACCGAGTGCTGCCCGGTGCACCCCCTGGCCACACCCACCATGGCGACACCCACCCCACTGGTCATTAAGGTAGACAAACGGTTGTTAAATTATTTGAATCCCACCACTGGTTGGTGCGGGCGGAGAGCACATCTTCCCAGTCGCTGAAACACAACTTGGAAGATTCTTCCTCCACAATTAGGAGTGGGAAAGAAAGGAAGGAAGCCGGCGTGATCTCCACAACTCAGAGATGCTTCACGGAAACGAGGTCAGGCGACAATGCTCGCTTCTATGCTCGGGCATCCTTCCACCGAAGCGCCCCCCCCTCCTCTCAGCCCAGGTCCCCAGACCCACCTCACACCGATAGCAGTCCTCGTGGAAGCTTCTGCCCAGACACTCGATCCGGTAGGCATCCCTCCCGTCCTGCGGGATGATGGGCTCCTCACAGACCCCGCAGACGGAAGCAAACCTCCTGGAAGGCAGGAAGGAAGGCAGGCGGGCGAGGTCCCATTTTTAACTCTAGGGTGGGGCAGGGTGATGAAAGAACCCCCTCCCACCCACCCGCAAAGGCAGAGGGCACCGTACCGGTAGAAGTCTGGAAGGCAAAGCGCCCGCTGATCATCATCCACGGCAAAGGCGTCGCTGCCGATCGGTTGGCTGCAGGCCACGCAGGTGAAGCATTCTGGGTGGTAGCCCTTTCCCGCGGCCCATACGATCTCACTGAGGATGACGGCTTGGCAGGCATCGCATTTCTCCAGGGTTTTCTGGGGTGGGAGGGGTCAGCATGAGACACAGGACAGCAAGAGGCAGGCCCGATTCTCCTCCCACCCACCCCTCCGTTTGCCAGGCTGGCCATTGCCTAGGCCCGTGATGGCCAACCAATGGCATGCAAAGCGTGACCCGCCAAATGCGCGCACAACAAAAGCGTGCTGAAAAAACCGTTGCGCTAAAACTGCAACGTCATCAACATGGCGACAACAGCGCACCGACAGAAGCGCGATTTAAGTTAAGGTTAGGGTTAGGTTTACAGCGCGCTTCTGTCGCCGCGCTGTTGTCGCCGCGCTTCAGCGCTCACTCGTCGGCGAGCTTTAGAACTCGCGGTTTTGTCACCGCGGTTTAGTTGGGCACGCTTTCGTCGTTCGCCCTTTTGTTGGTGAACCCACGCAAAGCTCCCTCTGTGGGCATGCCAGCCTTCTCCCCAGCCCAGCTCCACCCACGTACATCTCACACACGCCTCCCACTGGCCAGTTGGTCTTTGGATCTCTGCCATGCATGCCAAGGAGCACGTGGGGGGGTGCATGCGCACATCCACAAGGGCGCAGGACACGTGTGTGTGTGTGTGTGTGTGTGTGTGTGTGTGTGTGCTCGCATTGCATTTTTGGCACGTGGGTGCTGCCCAAGGATTAGGGTTAGGGAAAACCACCTGCACCAACCTCGAAGCAAAAAATGGGTGGGAGGGGAGCGCAATCAGGGGGGGAGGTCACACATGCATGCATGGTGGGGTCATGCGTGAATGGGCAGGGGTGGGGCACACGCCTGGCATTGTGTGCGCATGCGCAAGAGGGAAAGGCGCACATGGGAGGGGGGTTTGCACAGGGATCGCATTATGGGTGCTGGCACGACAAAAAGCTGGGCCATACCTGGCCTAGGCCTTACCTGATAGCAGGCCACGCATAGCGGCCGGCCCTCTTTCTGATAATAGCTCTGTCCGGCAAGGCTGCTGTGACACCCACGGCAGGTGAAGCATTTGACGTGGTACTGCTTCCTCATGGCCTCCAATGCAGGAGCTTCGGGCAGAATGCCCTTATGGCAGAAAGCGCAGATACCTGGGGAACGAATCAGGGTGGACCTGATAGGGTGGTCAGCCAGGGTCCAGTCGCCTCCTTCTGG